GTTGGGTTGAAACAACCCAGCATTTTTTAGAGTGTACATATCCACTATATGTATCATAACATTTTTGCTGATATACTGTATATATTTTGTTTATTTTTGTACAGCTGACTATGTATAGGCTACTATATTGTCTATAGACCATATTCAGAACTATTTCTGCACATTCAGTGCCTGGGTGAACTGGATTGTGAAGCAAATTTTTCCACTGAAATACTGCGTACTACGTTGTGCAGTTATTTAGTGAATTTGCCTCTCTGTTTTTTAACACATTAGCAAAAAAACAAAACAAAAAAAACCTCCAGTTTGATAATCAGTCCAAATTAAAAGATGACGGAGTATTTGACCAGTGAACAGATTTGAAACCCTGCTTTGCAGTCGACAACTTTTTGTGTGAGGCTTTGTGGGATACTTCAGAACCCAGAGGACGTAGACTGTCTGATGGGAGAGAGCCTTCAGAGGTTGCATTAAGTCAGACAGCTTGATTTGACCGACAGTTTTCCCTTAAAATGCAAGGCATTTGTGAGGGGAATTTCTGAGGCAGATATTCAACATGTCCTGTCTGTCTGGAATCCTATTTATAGAGCCCCAGGTTGATTCCAGATATACATAATATTGTCTAGCGGTGAAAATGAATGATTTGGTCAAGTATTCAATAATTTATGAGTTCTAGACCCATAAACAATGTAAATTGAACAATATTATCTGGCATTGAGACACATTAGTTCTCCCGAAGACCATCAACCTCCTGAACGATGTGTGGGCTGCTGTACTGATGTCTCATAGACTGGGCTGCCTCCTCCTCCTTCATGGATATGGTGATACATAATGTTTTTATCTCGGTCTATCATCTGTCTCTCTGTCTCTCTGTCTGTCATGTTAGAACTACAGCAGAAACAGCATTTTCAGGTTTGAGTAAGAAGAAGGCAGCATGATTGTGTGATATAAAACAGCTCAATAAACAAGAAGTTAATATTGAGTAAATTACATTTTTAGACACAATATAGCAAGTCATGTTGTTTGTTTTTTTCCAAGCAGCTGCAACACAGAGCAAACCACAGTAGTGGTGTTTTGTTCCTGAATGTCATTGTTTTGAACGAATCCGTTGAATGAATAATTCAATAACTCACTTAAAAGACA